TAAACCAATCCTTCATCTCCAATAATACCTGAAATTTTTATTTTTATTATTATTATTATATTTTTACAGTTTCATGTCATTTAGGGTTGTTGAAATTTGAATGAATACAAACAAACAAACCTCTTGTGCTACACCGAATTCTGAACGAGTGAGTTCCATGGCTATTTTATTCTCAAGAAATTGCATTAAGATCATTAAGTACACACCAGCCATCCAAATGGCAGAGTGCTGTAAGTCCACTTCTGCTTTAAATGAAAACAGAGATGTTAATTTTTAAAATTCACTCACTTTATCCATATTCGACTTAATGGGAAAAAACTAAAAAAGTAAAAGAAACAGCCTCTAAGACTTATAAGCAGAAGGGTTACCTGTTGTGCCATCAGCTATTCCATATTTCACCAGTTCAGCTGCATATAACAAGTAAAAGAGTCTTTACAGATAAGACAGAGAAGGTCAACAAAGTGATGACATTATCAAAATCAATTCAAACTATGTGATAATTTAAAGTGATGACAATAAAAGAAAGACCAACCTCGGATAGTCTTTAGTCCAGATTGAATTCTCTTTCCACATTCCTTAAAGAGTCCCTTTGGGCGACTAAAAACAACAAACATAAGATCAACAAGCGAATATACAGCACTTTTAGGTAGCCACTCCCCATCAATAGGAGGAGGTGCCAATTCAAGCTTGTCTCCTAATTCTCTTTTCACATTCCCAAAGTATGCAGGTTCTAAACCCTCTTGACCATTGAAACTTGATCCAATAGAATTACTGATTTCTTCTTCAAGTTGACTTCTTCTTGCACTCAGTTTAGCCCTATCTCTATGGGGTAGATCAGATTGTGAAAGACCTTCATTTACTATAGTCAGTTCTTTTGTAAGCTCACGAGCTTGCTGCATTTTCTGTAAGTCAGTTTTCATGGCAGCATCTAATTTATCAACATGTTGACCAGCATTCTTGTAGTCACATATTCGGATCAGATAGAATATGTGTAGCAACTCGTTGTAAAAGAATAAACCAAGGCATTGTTGTTTCTGTGTTTGACAAAAGTAGGAGTCATGAAAGTGGAAAAGATTAGAATTGTGAAGAATGTCTTTATACAGAAAGTATATGTACATTTTATATAAATTTCTGCAACTAATTTGAAACTCGGTGTCAAATTTAATAAGAGGCATATGAACTTACTTTGTCTGCATCAATAGATTCCCAAATATCATTGCATCTACTTACAGCAGCTTCAACTAAGCTTCCATCGTCCCATTGCATGAGGTGTACATGCAAAACTGAAGTTGCAAAAAACATCTGTCCACAACCATAGCAAACAGAATAGGATTGCTTTAATATCACAGCACTTTAAAGAATCTACCAAGTTATAGCAGAAAAAATTCTGTTGTATTTGGATGACATTGTTATAACTAAAATCATATATGGTAAGAACAACAATGGAATGTCAAATTACAAAAGAGACACAAACATAGTGTCAAATGTTGAGAATTTATAGTGACCAGTTAAAATATGCATTAGCTCATACAAACCTGCAACTCAGGATAGTACATCTCAGTTGCACAAACATAACCTTGCTCCAGTGTAGATACAGAACCCTGATAATCTCCTTCAATGATGAGAGCATTTGCAAGTTGTGAATTGAAGTTGCATGACCATAACTTCCCAGAAAACCTTCCAATAAATAACAATAGCAATTAGCACAAACCAGAATCTTACAACTTCCATGAAAGGATGCTAATCCAGATATAAGTTATGAAAAGAACTCAATACTTTGAAGAACATGTAACAAGAAATTGCATGGTAAAAGTAAAACCACAGAAGGAAACTTGCATACCCCTCTCCAAACTCTGCAGTAAGTTCTAGTCCCTTTTTTAGTAGTTGTTTTTGAGAAGAGACAGCTCCAACAAGATGGTAACACTGGCTCAGTAAGCTAAAAGCTCTGCACTTCAACTCAAAGCATGAAGGGATTGACTTTAGGAGTAGTTGCTGTAAAAAAAACAAGTGCAACTCTGTTTAGCTAACCCCAGTTTACATAGTTTAAGAGCCCTCTCACCTTACTGATCAAGAAACACCTCAACATAGTTTAACAAGTGTAACATAATTTTCACATAGCATCACAGATTACACACCAGCTGGTTGGTGAACAAATACCTCAATATACCAAAAGAGTCAAAAAAGAACAGATAATTTAAATTGGGATTATATATTGTCATGATGAATGGGCCTAGGGGTCTTAATGGAAAGTTGGTAACTATACAGAGTTTTACATGTTTTGTATCGCATTGGTTGTGTAATTATGGTTGGTGAGGTTAGCTAGCTTCTTAGAGGTCTTTCATCTTGCTTGAGAACATGATTTACTCATTTCCATTCTACAAGGTACAAAGTGATTTAGAATTCGCTATTAATATACTCAACTCTCAGGTGGAATTATGCGTGTTAGGCTAAGTTTATGTACACTATTAGAAAACGAACAGCTTGTATGAGTTTGGATATGCACAATAAAACGGTAGATTGACTAATAGCTTGGACTTATAGAGGTGATTTAGAATTAATGGTTACCAGATCAGTGTCAATCTCCATGCTTCCATGATATTGAAACATAACAATCAATTATATTTCTTTTTGTTTAAGCATAAATGGTTCTAATCCTTTCAAGGCTTTGGTTTTCATGGTCATGCTACCCCATTCACACTGTATATGTATCATGGAGGTTAGACAAAAACATGCAGATTCATGTTCTTTGTTTTTATATATGGATTAAATAAGAGTACAAACGATCTCATTAACAATTTCGCTACTTTATAACTACAGCTCAGGCCTCAGAGTAACTAAGCTGCTTAACGCATTGTGTTGAATTATGGAAAAAAACATACTACTAAATACCCCACCGTATCCTTGCCTAAATTCAATATAAGTAACCAGGTACCAACTGCGGTACCCATTTTTAGTGAATACAGGATAACCAAGCTAGCACCATAGCAAGTTTTTCTGTGTGTAAAAACGGTACAGAAAACTGAACAAAAATAAATGTCCACAGCTTCATGAAGTTCGGAAAGTTTCAGAACATCGTAGCTAAATTAGACTTCGGAAGCGTGACAAACTCAACATGAACCAACGCATATTAAATCAATTTAACTGGAAGAGGGAAGATTTGACTAACGGATCGTTCAAGGTGAGATTTGGCATAATTAACGTTGTGGGAGTGCTTGAGGAGCATAGTAGCGATTCTAAGACGAGTTTTGACTTCGATAACGGGAAGAAACGATACAGTGCTTTGACAGATGGCTTCAAGACACTTGACTGATTTCGCAATTTCGCCATTTTTTTCGTGCAAATCTGCTAATTCCCACAGTCCTTCAGCTACTCCATCCATTCCGTACTCCAATAACTTCGATTTTCCACTTCAATTTTCAGATCCCTGTTTCCCTTTGCTTGCTTGCTTCATCGTCTCCCTCCGTCGTTTCTCCCTCTTGATTGCTGTTCAAAGTCCATCGAAGTCAATCGCGAATCAAATCGTTGTAGAATGTCGACTTTGGTGTTTCGTAATCATAAGCCCATGGGCCTATATTTATCGGCCCAAAAGGTTAAGAAAATGTAAATTACGAAAGTATCCTTTAATTAATGTGTTTTTTTTTATGAATTTTATCAAATAAAATATTACGCAAATAAAACTTTTAAAATTAACTAATTTATTTAACTCAAATAACATTATTTAACTATTTTTTAAACTAATTTGTTTATTTTATCTTTGTGAAATATTTTATGAGGCTCACTCATTAATTTGATATTTTTAAGCATATTTAATATTTATAAGTTAAAAAGCACTTAACAATTAAAATTCAATATAGGGAGATTTTTATATATGTTCCTCTTAAACTTCAAAATATCATATTTGTCCAGTTTAATTTCTCAATATCATATTTACCTTTCATAAACCTTCAAAATATCATATTTGCCCAAATCATTTTTTATAATGTTTTTAATATTTTATAATCATTTTTATACTTTATAATTATTATAATAATGAAGAAATTTAACCATATTATTCTTAAGTCTATGATAATGGAATATGAACTTCTAAATTGTTGGAATGTCGGCCACTTGGCAGACAAAAAGATTCATCTTCAACCATTTATATGGAATGTATATTTTGATTGTTTAGTTTTTGTTGTTGTTGATTATTATCATGTTGTTGATGGATGATATTTTATATACTACCATTGAGATTTTCATGTTTAAAAAGTGCATATATAATATTTTGATATTTAAGAAGGGTATATATGATATTTTGATGTTTAAAAAGGACATATATGATATTTTGATGTTTAAAAATAACATATATGATATGTTGAAATTTTATGAATGGTAAATATGATATTTTGAATTTTTATGAAGGGTAAATATGATATTTAGAAATTAAGTTGGGTAAATATGATATTTTGAAATTTTATGAATGGTAAATATGATATTTAGAAATTAAGTTGGGTAAATATTATATTTTGATGTTTAAGAAGGGTGTATATGAAATTCTCCTTTCAATATATTACATATGCCAAAATTAAAATAAATACTACTAATTTGGAATCATTATTTTGCTTTTATGTTGTAGCACAGCGTTATATCATAAGACAAAAATTGCAATAATGATTATTATAGTTCGCTTATTTCTTTGAATACAATAGAGTGACTTTTATATTTGCCTATATGATCATTCTTCACCTCACCACCTCACAAACAGCTTCATTTATGTTCAAATTCCCAAATTTTACAACCTCGACACAAGTATAACCTTCATCGTAATGCTATTTTTGAACCCATCACGAATGTTCCACAAAATTCAACCACTCACATTCCTTTGCCCTCTCCACATTGTTTCAAGGGTAAGGATACCCCTCTAATTGCAAATCTTTTACAATTTCCAAAGTACAAACCCCAGTGTTTGAAGGGTAAGAATTTATATCCCTCCAAGATGTTGAGAATTTGTATAGACCCAATCAGTCCGGATTGATCAAACTGACAAACAAGATCCATAACGATTATGTTTATTGTTTCGTAAGGTCATCAATTCTAAAACACCCATAAAACTTTTTATTTTCCAAAGTCCAAACTTGTTATTGGTGTGAATGAACCCACATCTATAAAACTTTTTATTTCCCAAACTTGAAACGACATTAATTTGTATTTATAATTTCAAATTGTCCAAGGTCAAGTTAGTAGGCGGTTTATGATTCAATTAAATTCAGGTGCATTTAGCTTCAAGCATTCAATCCGATCATCTTTGAGAAAAAAAAAAAAAAAAAAAAAAAAAAAAAAAAGTAAACTCAACTCGAACATAATTTTAAAGAGAAAAAAAAATACCGATGTTCCTGAATATTCTTCTTATAACCACAAACATACACTCCTAATGATTTTACGAATTTTGACACCTTTAGGCATAATGTGAGCTCAAAAGACCAAAACACCCTCCCAAGCTTATGGGAATACACATGATGTCTGTCTGTCTGTCTATCTGTCTCATACTTGTTGTGTCTGAGGGATTGGCGGCAACAAAGATTCCCACCAACCAGACTCATACTTCGGGTATGGGGCGACCCAATTACTTGGTTTCTCGAACTCTATATTACAAGGATTTGATGCCAATGCTTCTTCCATACTCTCTGCTTCAAAGCTATCTAACAAAACTCGATCTAGTCTCAACTTCATGAACCTGTTTATCATTTAGATACATATTAAAATACAGAAAAGCACAACATACTTTTATCATTTTATCGATTTACTCACTTAAGTCTTAACTGTTTTATGTAACATATAATAGTAACGTACTTACCTTTTCTTTATGCTACTATGGGTTACATATTGATATTATTTGTAAAAAAAATAGTACTATAAAAAAGTACATTGCCTATAATGGTAAAAAGATTAAAGTACGTTGCTTTTCCCTGCTATTTTCCCAAAGAACTTCAATCTTGGCTTCCATGCAACGAATATAAAGTACACGTGGGAAATTTTGGGGAAAAAAAAAAAAAAAAAAAAAGATATGGTGGTGGACTTACTTGATCCATGTACCATTGGTGGAAACCAAAGCAACTGCAGGTCTCTTAAGTCTCTTGGTAATGTTGGGGAACTTGTCTAAAAACTTGGGTTCAATCACAAGCCAAAAATCCTGCTCCATATTTCTCTCTTTGAAAAGACGGACTCTTTCAAACAACTGCTCTTGAAAGTGTTCTTCTTCATCCAACATGAATTTTGCATTCGCAACCACAAAATGGTATTCCTTTTTACTCTCTGTTTCCTGCATTTTGCAACATGGCGAAAATTTGTGATCTGATATGCTAAAACATGGGATTCCGGCTGATAATTGTTAAGTCACGCAATGATAAATCATGTTTGGGATTCGAGCTCACCCCTAGGTTATCAACAAGCCTCAAATGACAAATTACTAAGTGTGAATGAGTGAATCTAGCCAGTTTCCTTGACAATTATTCACAAATTGCATTACGTTATGAAGACTTTGAAAATTACGCTTCCTACACTATCAACTACCCTAACCCCTTTTTCTGCAGTTCTGTGCGACATGTGGACACTTAATTACAAAATTTGTTCCGAGTCGATTAGAATGCTCGTATTAAAAATAGAAACCGACCTTTTCCATGGTGTCGGAAGAATTGATGGCGGCGACAGCTGTCCTGACGGGGGTAGTTGTTTTCCAGCTGATACTGGTGGTGGTGGTGTTTAGTTTGGGCAAATGTTGCGACAGCGACAGAAAGGGGAAGGAATGTGTACCGTGATGAAGTTGGGTGGTGGTGACGGCGGCGGCGGGGACGTTCACCACCGCCGAAGCACCCAGAGATTTCACCAGACTCATAATTTGCTCTTTTGGAATAGAAACAGTTATGGAGGTCGAAGACGATCAGCAATCATAAAACCTTATCTACTTCTCCTTCTGACAAAATGTTTTATGACGTCCCTTGTCTATCACTATATTACATCTTTTACCCCCGATCTTTTTGATGTTTTGCCATCTATGAGTTTTGGATGGCCCGCAAGCCCGCAACGTTCCATGCGATCTAGTCACCGTTGTCTTTGTTAGAATTATCCTACAAAGTACTGAGCTGCAATTGGAGCTTAAGAAATCGTAAAATGGAATTGTTAAATTTCTTTATATACATAGACCAACTCCAAATTGACTTGTATATCAGCAAAATAGAGGCCAAACTTCATCTAATCGTACGCTAAATCCAACACAAAAATGGTGATTTGCTACGGTAACACACTAAAAATAGCGGTTTTCATCCTCTACTATCTATAAAAATTATATAATATTACTTATTTTGTATTATTTTGTATTTTGCTTTATATTATAGATTATTTGGAAATGATAATCAAAATTTTGGTATTATTCTAATCTTTTAATCATAAAAGCATGAAACCGACGCTATTTTTTTACTTTTAATTTATTTTTATTTTTTTATACAAAAAGTAAAAAATATATGATAAACATAACAATAACAATTATGAGCATATATGATTAATAGATTTTTGTACTTTTTAATTTTAATAAATATTTATAATTGACATTTGTCAAGAAAATAAAATTAATATGACTTGTTTTCAAAAGTACGTTACTTTAAGATTAAAATATTGAGTTTATGTTTTTTTATTTTGTGATTTTAGTGTATGATTGGAGACAAAAACTTATATGGTGTTAAAAACTCATCATTTTAATGTTGTGTTTAGTGTCATGGTTGGAGTTGGCCTTATTCGACTAACGTAAGGTGTCTTCATTTATACTTTGTGTTTAGAATTTTAGACATAAGATGAGGAATTATTTCAAATAATAGTGGTGATGGTTATGCACCAAGTTAAACACAAGTTGTGTGGAACGAGTTTAGACATGGTTGTGTCACTTCTTTTGATCGTTGAATGTTATGAAACCCGTTAATTAAGTAGGGTTGCGTATATTACTATCAAATCAATATAATAATAATAATAATAATAATAATAATAATAATAATATTCTTCTTATTCTTACGTGGCATCTTCTCAAGCTAAAGAAATTTCAAAGTAAAATGTCTAATATGTCCTTCATCTTTTAATATTATTGATGGGTTTTGAGCATTACAACATTCCTATATGCACATGCAACCCTAATTGCTTTGGATCTAGGTTTTTCTCAAGTTATACATGCAAATAAGATTTCAAAGCAATAACCCTAGATCTAGTATATATAAAATCGAAATCTATATATTATTAGGGTTAGAAGAATACATTTCTCGATCTTAACTTCTAAGAGCTTAGTACCCCAAGCGTTGCACCTCTAATAGAGTCACAAACACCACTGACAAAGGATGAATGAGAAAGGTAATGGAGGCTCTTCAATTTTCGGCTAGGGTTCTTTTAGAGAACATAGGGCCCAAAAATTGTATGCCAAATGGTTCCTTATATACTTGAGGTTGCTAGGGTTTTACCAGGTGAAACCCTAATTTGATTGCTTAGGCCTTAAGCAGTCCATGGATACCTTCTAGAAGGCCCTGGATGAAATCTCTATGGGTTTCCCATAGATTTCGTCCACTCCATCCTTAAAGAGTCCATCAACCCCAATTGTAACTATCAGTGATTTGCAATATCAGTCCCCGGTCTTTTAATTAGTTTCTTTAATCCCAAAATTAATTCCAAATTAATTTCTGATTAATACTAATTAAATAATATTATTTCTAATTAATATAATATTCTTATAATATAATAATAAATCATTAAATAACCTCTTTCTCCACAAAGTCATCTTATCAAGTTGTTATGGTGAAAGCAACCTAAAATGACCATGCAACTATCAGATCAAGTACGTACTAATTATAGTTATAGGCTTATACACCTAACCCAACAATCTCCCACTTGTATAGGTCTAATAACTAAAATTGCAAGTATGACTTCAAAATCTGACCAACAATCGTAGCTCTCAAAAGTCGCTCTCGAACTTTGACCTAGTCAATGACACGTCCTTTAGATAAGGGATCATATAATCATCCGTTTTGCAGGATATTGTGTGGACAAAGACAAGGAATAGAGTCATACTCAGTGTCCAACAACTTGTTTCCTAATTTCTGATTTGTTTGACAAGGAACTTAATCGAACACATCAATTCAGTCATGACCGGGCCGACATATAAGTCAACACAAAATCATCGAGGGGCCCAATATATCGCTTTTACCCTCTTAGGATAAAAGGAATAGATAAACTTTGACGTATATGCATGTACTATTTACTCATTAAGTTGTACACAATAACATGTTTTATAACATCAAGTTACTGGTGCATTTAGGCATTATCAATGCACAACCAACTCGTAAACAACAACTCATATATCTCGTTTTAAAGATTATACGATATTATCGTCTCACAATTACCCGTGATAAATTTCATGAAGTGATTTATATGAGCGTGGGTTTAATCCAATACTCAAATCTTATTTCAGAAGTACTCATGATCGTTGAAGCAAACCTTTGTTATATATAAGCACTTAAACAATCTACAAACCAATTCATAACATTCTAACCTCATAACTTACTTCCAAAGTATGATTGACTGTGAATAATTTAAACAATCCAATTATTCAGGAAGTAAAACATGCAAAAGTGAAACAATAGTAAACAACTGACACAAGATAGTAAACAATACTTATATATAAATCTCCATTATATAATCACCAAATGTCAATTAAATTTTTCTATTGCAAGTTTTGAAACATTTGTCTAATCACTAAAACTAATGTCATCCTTCAGACCAATGTTCCTCGCATGCTGAACGTGCTTGATCCTACGTAGACCCTTTGTGAGGGGATCCGCAGGATTTTCTTCTGTCGATACCCTCTTGACCACAAGGAGTCCCTCTTCTACCTGATGTATGATGAAGTGGTATTTTTTGATGATATGTCTGGATCTACCATGATCCATTGGTTCCTTAGTTAAGGCAACCGCTCCTTCGCTATCACGAAAAATCTCCACGAGCTCCTTTATAGATGATACAACTCCAAGGTCTCCAGTGAAGTTCTTAAACCATATCGCCTCCTTCAATATTTCGCTCGTTGCTATGTACTCTGACTCGCACATTGAATTAGTCACGGTCTCCTGCTTGGACTTTTTTTAAGTCACTACTCCTCCATTTAGGGTAAACACGCAGCCCGACTGAGAGTGGAAGTTATCTCTGTCAGTTTGAAAGTTTGCGTCACTATACCATGTCACTCTCAAGTCATCACTCCTACCAAGTATAAAGACCCAATCCTTAATCCTTCACAAGTACTTAAGAATGTTATTAATTGTTGTCCAAAGAGGTCTACCAGGTTCCCTTGATACCGGCTAACCATGCTCAATGCAAAAGTCACATCAGAGCGAGTACATGTTATGACGTACATGATCAAGCCAACGACGGAAGCATATGGCACTTGACTCATTTTCGCTATCTTGTCATCAGTACTCGGACTCTAAGTTTTACTCAGCTTGGTATTGCTCTGGATTGGTAACTCATATTTCTTGGAATTTTCCATGCTAAAACGTTTCAACACATTGTCCAAGTAAGTACTTTGACTAAGTCGAATTAGTCTTCTACTCATATTTCTCAAGATCCTTATCCCCATAATGTAAGCAGCTTCCCTTAGATCCTTCATAGTGAAACACTTCCCAATCCAAGACTTTACTTCCTGCAAGGTTGGAACGTCATTTCCTATAAGCAATATATCATCGACATACAATACTAGAAAGCTAACTATACTCCTACTATCCTTGACATATACACAGGACTCACCCTCACTTTTAGAGAAACCAAACTCTTTAACTTTCTTGTTAAAGCAAATATTTCATCTGTGAGACGCTTGCTTTAATCCATAAATGGATTTCTCAAACTTGCACACTCTACTGGGGTATTTAGCATCCACAAAACCCTCTGGCTGACACATGTAAACATATTCAGTCAACTTCCCATTAAGGAAAGTGGTTTTGACATATATCTGCCAGATTTCATAATCATGAAACGTAGTGATAGCTAGCATAACCCTAATAAACTTGATCTTGGCCACTGGTGAGAAGGTCTCATCATAGTCAACCTTTTGGGTTTGAGTGAAGCCCTTTTGCAACCAGTCATGCCTTTAACGTGTGCACATTTCCATACATGATTATCTTCTTCTTGAAGATCTATTTGCACCCAACTGTCTTTCGACCTGGTACATTGTGGTACATTGTCAACCAAGTTCCAGACTTAATTGGCATACATGGACTGGGTCTCGCTCTTCATTGGCTCTTTCCATGTAGCAGACTCGGGTCCCGTCATGGCTTCCTTGGAGTTAGTAGGCTCATCCAAATTTACCAATGTATTATCACTAATAAGCGTATCACCTTCGGTAGTAATATGAAAACCATAAAACTTTGGTGCCATTCTAACTTGAGAGGAACGTCTAAGAGGTAATGACCTATCAATTGGTTCAACAGGAAATCGCTTCCTCAGGTTAAGTGCTAGTGTTAGGGGTTCCTTCATCGCTTGACTCTTAAAGCTCTTTAATATCAATTTGCCTCCCACTGTCCTCTTAGCATATCAACTATCTTTCACGGAAAACCCCTCTCATTGCTATGAAGACCATGTTATCACTAGATTTGTAGAAAAGGTATCCAAAACATTTATGTGGGTAGCCAACGAAAAATACACCGCTCACTTCGAGGTTCAAACTTGTCGTAAGTCTCTCGTCTTATAAAAGCTTCATAACCCCAAACCTTGATATGTGCCAACGAGAGAACCTTCCATGTCTACATCTCGTGAGGTGTTTTGGCAACCATCTTAATTGGGACTAGATTAAGGATATGAGCGGTAGTCTCTAAGGCATACCCCCATAATGAGATTGATAGCGAAGCTCGACTCATCATGGAACGAGCCATGTCTAACAAGGTTCGATTGC